TAATCCTTGTGAAAAGGTTTGGCCTAACCACCCTAATGTTTATTATTAATGGAGACCTAAAGAACCTCATGCTGTGTGGATTTTGCCTTAAATCAGTCTGGATATTACCTACACAAAATGCCTTTCATAGCATGTCAAAAGCATAGGCGTGGATTTTTTTAAAAGAGTAGTATCCAGGTGGGTGGAAAACAAAAATGTGACATTCTAATTATATACTTCATGAAATTATGACATTCTGAAAGCTAGAAAATTACTTTGTTTCATAAACAAACTACAGCAAAATCATTCTAACTCGATTTGATGGTTATTATGGACTACCAGATTACTGACTGTAAGCAAATAACTGCAGTTTAAAGAATCAACCTTTTTAAGCAGTGACATTTTGCTAAAACATACTTCACTTTTTAGATGCAATGAGAATTCACAGTGCTCCTCTTCCTAACAAGATATTGTTTCACTGGAAAGTTTTTAGTCTACTATCAAGTGATCCCATAAACCAGGGCAGAACTAATGGCTTTATTAAGTACCTTTGCTTCAGGCTAAACGGAAGGAGCAATTACATCCCACTTCTATAGCAAAGCAGCTGGAATCAGCAGAAGCTACCTCAAAGTGCAGTAGAAAATATAAAAAGGCCTGATCAGAAGCTTGACAGGTTCGCTGACTCCAAACACAGAGCTAGGGAACTGTCTGTCCAACTACGTTAGAAAGGGATGCAGTAACCCAGGAGGGAGGTAGTTCTAAAGAAGCATCCACAAACAGGGCACCGAAAACAAACAGGCAAAGTTTTTGACAGGCCTGCTTCAAGATCTCTAACCTCATAGTTAGGTTTTCTTCCATGGAGCTCAAGCAAACAGGACACTCTACAATCTTTGTATGTCAAAAAATGGTCACAGAAGACACACTTGAGCCCCTCAGTCTATCTCTAACATAACAGATATGTAAGGTTTCAAGTGTTGGTTACCACTCGTCCTGACAAAAGGGGCAACAGAAACAAGGTAAGTTCTAAAAGTTGAAAGGCACCTTATTTCTCCTTCAGACATTTTTTTCAGTTGGAACAGTGCTGCAACACATCTTCTAAATTCAGTACACTGCTTTCTTCTACCCGATAACGGTTACAAAGAACTATTTTCAGTTATGAATAGCCTTTGAAATATACATTCTATAACACATTCTTCCTTAGGGGACTTTGCCATACGCCCTCCCCACCACCATCACAAAAAAAAAAAAAGAAAGGCAACTCACCTTTTTTTGTAGGTATTATTGTGGAGGGAGCAAAGACATCCGGAAAGGGAAACTCCAGGAGTGGGACTCCAAGAGTTTGACACGTCTTTGCCTTGGTGACAAGTTGGGACTTTCTGTAAGCAGGAGAATTGCCAAAGAACTGGAGATGAGATGGTAATGAGCAACTCCAGCACATGAGGAGGAATGTGGTTAGGTGTGCCTGGAAACTGGGAACTGAGGGCTGTCTAAGCAGCAAAAAGAAATGATTGTGCATCTGTTCATCATTTGAGCAACATGACTTCTCTTTCCTACTTACTACTTTTTCTTTTTTTGCCATTCTACTCTGGTCATTTCCAGACCAAGGACAGCAGTTTCCCTTGTCCACCATGACCCCATATATCTTCCTTGCTGTTACAGGATCCGTAAGTCAGCCAGAGCTTTGCAATGGAACAGCTTAGAGCCTTTTTCTTACCATGACTGTAACTAAAACCCTTAAACTCTTCTGAACTCTAAAGCTGTGTTTCGTTATAGCCCCAACTGAAACAAGATGGCTTTAGAAAAAGAGGAAGTGAGACGGATTGTAATAAAAGGGTACGTATAGAGGCTTCCTCTCCCACTATATGCTTGCAGAGCAAGCTGTAGGTCCTTATTCTAAGTAACACAATTTTTGTGGCCTTCTGGGCTACAACAACACCTACATATTCTCTCCTGAGTCCCAAACATCAGTCTCTCCTTCTGTCCTTTCTGAGAGCATGCCCCTTCCTATCCCCACTCAAAAGACTCACTGTCCCTACATCTAATACTACGAATTCCCATCTTGCAGACTTCTCACTTCTTTCCTATCCCCAATTCACACTATGGAGGCTTTTTCATCTAGGCTTGCCCATTTGCTCTCAGAGCAGACACTACTGCTCGCTCTATCCCTCAGGCTCCATCTGGCCTAGAGTGAAAAGGAGGCAAGAAAATAAAATGGCAGTCTTCATCCTCTATGTCCAGCTACCGCCCTTTGAAAAATGTTGTGTCAGGGATATTGCAAACCAACAAGATAGCATCCACTGCCTTTGCCTTTAGCTCTTCCAGGTTATAATCTCATTCTCTGGAAGGAAATATATCACTCTGCTGTTTGCATATTCTGCAGAGAGGGACCTGGGTGTCCTGGTGGACGACAGGTTGACCATGAGCCAGTAGTGTGCCCTGGCTGCCAAGAAGGCCAATGGGATCCTGGGGTGCATCAAGAGGAGTGTGGCCAGCAGGGCGAGGGAGGTTCTCCTTCCCCTCTACTCTGCCCTAGTGAGGCCTCCTCTGGAGTACTCT